GGGGGGCGGGAGATGAGGGGCCGGGAGATGAGGAGGGGGCGGGAGCCCGGGGTCAAGAGGGCGGGAGATGAGGGGGGGGCGGGAGCCCGGGGTCGAGAGGGCGGGAGATGAGGAGGGGGCAGGAGATGAGGGGGCCGGAGCCCGGGGGTCGCGGGGCCGGAAACCGGAAATGGGGGACGGGAGCCAGGGGTCGGGTGGACGGGCTTAGACGGGCTTCGGGGGACCTCTGGGGTGGGCCGGAAGTTGGGCACCCCGGCCTCCAGGTGGACCAGCTGCCCCGCCCGCCCCCATCCCGGGAGGGGGCCCGAGGTGCAGAGAGCAGGAACCTGGTCTCCCACCTGGAGCCCTGCACCAGGTGAGCGCAGGTCTCCATTAGAGAAGAGTCGTGTTGTTTTAGTGGACTGAACTTAGGAGGAAAAAACATTATTCTTTTTAATATATAAAAAAAAAAAAAGAAAGAAAAATGTAAAACAATCTTTGAGAATTCACAGGGCTACTTTGCTAGGGAGCTGTAAGAAGTCAGTGTTGGTGCCCACACCTTACAGGCTCACGGCTTTGGCCTGGACCACTGGGTGTGTAACACAGGGAAGGTTTGGTTGGAAGTCTCAACGTAAATTGGGGACATGTCATGATATGTTTATTAGACATTAAAGAGGAAATGTCCAGTAGGCTGCATTCAAGTAGAGAGGAATTTGGTAGTCATCTGTTTTCATCATTTGAAATCGCAAAATTAGACTAACCAGGAAATCAGAGCTTCAGTAATCCCTGCGGCACCAACCTTGTCATGTCCAGGGGGTGAGAGTCAGGGAAGCCCGGTGAAGACCAGATCTGTGCTGAGGATTTGGAGGAATGTTAAACAAGGACTGGGAATTCATGATTGGATGTGGCGAAACAATTTACTGGTGATTGACAAACTATCTCAGGAGACATGGGGAGAAATGACTAATGGCAGAATTTTTCTAAATTCTGATTAATTATGGAGTCTGAAAAGAGGCATTGACTTCCATTTCTTGCCCAAACACACATTTACAAGACAAAGACAAAACCCACAAAGAATGAAGATACCAGTTAGCAAGAGAGGCTGGGAGTGGATGGAAGAATGATAACTGACCTAGCAAACCAACAAAGTTAAAATCTATATATGTGGCTTAAACGAATAAAAAGACCACTCTTGTCAATAAATCCCAGGAAGGTACAAAAAACTGGAAACCTGCCAGTTGAGTCCTCCTCAAAGTTAAAACTGTTTGGGTAGTTTAATAGCAATAAAAACTGGAATGATGATAATTTTTTTAAAAAAAGTCCAGCACAATAAATTGGGTAGGGAACAAGAGGAAGCAAAAAGATCACATATGTTTGGAAATTTGAGAACACCTGCCACAAAAGTGATTTTGAAATTTTCAATAAACAGCCAGTTGCAGTGGGACATACCTGTAATACCAGCAGCTTAGGAGGCAGAGGCAGGAAGATCACAAAGCCAGCCTCAGCACCTTAGCAAGACCCTCTCTCTAAATAAAAAAAAAGAGGCTGGGGATGTGGTTCAGTGGTTAAGCACACCTAGGTTCAATCCCGATAACCAAAAATAATAATAAAAAGCAAACAAAAGGGAATGATTTCCAGTCTATAATGCTATTCCCATTCAAATGATGAGTCAAAAATTTAAGGATAGAAATAAAGACATTTTAGATATGTGAGCTCAAGCTATTAAAACTAAGCTCCATCAAAATGAGAAAGCAGACCAAGGAAGAGGAAGATATGACTTAGAATCCAGGAAATGTCCAAGCTGTGGCAGGAAGACAGGAGGCCTTGGAGGGTGGTCTTCCACAGAAAGTGGAGCTAGCATTTTATCTGATGCATATGATTGTGTCACAAGAAGCTTTATTTACTCTTAGGGTAGAGAATTTTGGGTGAAGTTGCAATAGGAACAGAGAAAAACAAGCAAATTTAAAAAATAAGGCAATTATTAACTTTAGGAAAAAATCAAAAGTTGTACCTCAAAAAAAAAAAAAAAAAAAGTTCAGCAGCCAGTAGTAAATATGAACTCAGAATGGAGATTTCAGCCAACATGTTACACTGTTACATATTACAGGAAAGGAAATATAGGTATGTGTGAATGGTATACATTGCAGGGAAGACAGGATGGAGAGCTAACTCCTCTCCCATTATAGGAAATTAACAATGTCTGAAATCAAGATTAAGAAATGACATTAAATATCTGTTGATAAACATGAAGTGAATCACTGAAGAAATTCGTAAGAGTAGTGTTGGAATATAGGGATTGCCTGGCAGATTTGGTGAGGTTAGATGGTACTTGTTTCCTCATTGAAATATGTAGGGTCATTATCTAACGATATTGGAGGTTTGAAGAGAACCAGAAGACATGAAATAGTCTTCCAGGATTATAATTGGGAAATATGAGTATCAATTTAAGATTGGTAGTCATAATGTCACCAAGTCTGTTAATACTTTTCTCAAATTCATTCTCTTGTTCCATAGCAGCTACTAGAACTCAGGCTTACAAACCTGCCTCTCCAACCTGGACAGCTGGAACATTCCGTTCTCAAGATTCCTGACTCATCTTCCCTCTTCCACATGGAACCATCTAAGAGCACAGAAAAATTAGTCACTTCCCTGGCTAATATCCTCTAACAACTGATTCCCAAGCACTCAGAATATGGTCTGACCCTGCCTACCTGTTCCTTTCACATGGCCACACAACCAAACTGGTGCCTCTAGGCTTTCTTCATGTCCTCTCAAGTAAACTCTCCCACCTGTCCCAGCTTCCAGTCCAGGAATATCTATCAATGTACATTGTCAAGAGTCCTGTGTATATACACATACCTCTGTTAGCTCTCATGTGAGTTGGGTGCTCCTGACAGGCAGGGCTCCTATGCCTTACCCATCCCTACATAGCTGATGGCTGGCACATCAGGGTCTGTGACTTTGCGGTGAGAATTATCTTGTTACAAATGGAAATATAAGCTGCAGACAACTTCAACATATGCAGGTGGGTGGGTGACCGTCTGAGATCAGGAAACATAATAATATTTCATTCTGCAAACTGTGTAGGATCTGAGATTCAATTCAGACGGTTTATTTGCATGATTAATCACATTTTCAACAGTACATCAACCATCTAAGAATAACATAATTTTGAGTAAAAGCAGAAACTCTTCTGGATATAACTGCTCTCCACTTAGGCTGCTCAAATGTCCACCATGTCCAGTAGTGCAGAGAGATGGAGCTCAGAGGCAACTTCTTCTTCCCTTGAACTTCGGATCAGCCTTTCCAGGTGCTTCAACCGTTCTGTCAGAGATGTACCTGTTGCCTCTGACTGCTGCAATTGCTCCTCTGTCCTTGCATTCTGTTGGTATAAAAAAGCAGCTCAGGTTAACATCATCTGGAGACCACCACCACCACCACCACGGCTAACATGCTTCTAGCCTCTTCCAATACATTCATGGAGCCAGTATCATCTGGAAATATACTGTTTCCCTTTGTATTCTACATGAACAATTTCCAGTGCCATTCATTTTTAATAAGATATCCTCGAGGGTTGTGACAATACATTCACCATATGAAGGTATTGTAACTTGCTTAACCAAACTCTCGTCCTTGGACAGTTTGTTTCTACTTTTATGCAGCATAGTCAGCACTACAGCAAACTTTTTTTATACAGTAATTTTTATGGATATTTGGCAGGTTTTTTTTTTAAGGGCAGAATTAGTAAATCAAAAGGTATGAATATTTTTTAAAGTATTTCCCAATCTGATAACTAGAAACAGTATGTCATTTTGTTTTTAGCCCTTGTTAAGGGGCTTTCAAAAGCCTTCAGGAATACACTTTTCACCATCTAACAGCACAGATCTGTGGCTAAACTCTTGTTTCTTTAACCACTGAGGAAAGGATGGTGAAACAGAACCACCCTTGGCTTTAAAGCCACTAGGATCTGGCTTTGAAAAGCAACTCTGCCCCTAACCAGCTGAACACGCTGGGATGGCTTCTCTGAGCATGCCTTTTTCATTCACTAATTTCCCCAAGGAGAATTAATCCCAGAAGCAAGTCTAAGTGATGACAAGGTTTAGACAGCATATGATCCCAAAATAGAATCTTCTGTTGTCACCTTTTTCATCAGTGCCCTTACTGCACAAGGGTTATAGGTTTTCTTCAGTTCTTAGGTATGTTTCAGTCCCATTCATTCATTTCACAAGCAGATACTCAATTGGTTGGGTCTCTATAACTAACATCAGTTTTTCAAAAGTCTAAGATAGTAATTTATTGGCTTTCATGATATCACATGATGAATCAAGATACTAGTTTGTTTTCCAGCACCACTCTGTCTCTAACTCTAGTGTGAATGCCAAATGCACTCTCTTCTCACCTGTGAACTGGTTGTTGTAGGTATTCTTGCCACAGGTTCAATAGTCTGAGGAAGAGACATTAGTGTCTGAGGAAGGTAGAGGGGAAGAGAAGTTGTATCTGTCACTGTTCTCAAGTCTTGAGACAACCACTGCTGAAGCTGATCTTCAAACCTGAAACAATATGTGTTCAGAAACACCTAAGCACTAAGAAGCACAAAGTTAACCATCGTTTTCCTTCTATGTATACCTCACATTTTTTTAAAAAAAAATTTATTTTTTAGTTTTCGACGGACACAACATCTTTGTTGGTATGTGGTGCTGAGGATCGAACCCGGGCCACATGCATGCCAGGCGAGCGCGCTACCGCTTGAGCCACATCCCCAGCCCTACCTCACATTTTTTAAAACCTATCACTGAGCTACATCCCTGGCCTTTTTATTTTGGGGTCTCTCTGAGTTGCCCAAACTTGCAATCTTCCTGCTTCAGTCTTCCAAGTTGATGGGATTAGTGGCATGTGTGACCATGTCCAGCTCTCATGTCTTGATAGATTTCAAAATGTACAAATTGCTGCTTATAATTTAAAACTAACTCAAAATAATATCCCAATAGCATCTAACACACTCACACTCCACTGCTGTCTATCTCCATACACTGGTCTTTTTAAGAAGAACAATCTGAAGCTGGGCACGGTGGCAGCATTTGTCCCAGCTACTTAGGAGGCTGAGGCAGGAGGGACCACTTGGGCTCAGAATCTGAGGCCACACTAGGCAACATAGTGAGACTCTGTCTCATATAAAATACATATACATGGTCTGGAGCTGCAGCTCAGTGGTAGAGCACACTTAGATCTATTAATTACAATTATGTAGATTTATAATTATATATATCTAGGTAAACTCACTTTTGGCGATAATGGTGAACTCCTTCACTCTTTCCAACACATTTATCAAGCACCCACCAAATGCAAAGCACCTTTCTAACTACCAGGGATACAGCACTGAAACAAAACAGACAAGGCCCCAACCCTAACCTGTCTTTAGTGACAGACAAGGAACAAAGCAAACAGTCTGATAAAGAAAAATAAAGCAGAGCCATGGAAACAAGGAGGGCAGGGATAAGCAAGGGAAGCCCAACATAAAAGCAGATGCTTGAGCAGAGACCTGGAATGTGCGTGGCTGGGAGTGGCTGGGGACTGAGGCGAGGAAAAGCAAACCCAGAAGTCAAGAAAGAAGATGGGGCGCACGTCACACAGGGCCTGGGTCACCCTTGTAAGGAATCTGCCTTTACTTCCAGGTGAAAGAGGAAGCCACTGAGAGGTTGTGAGCAAAGGAGTGACATGACCCCCACACCTGAAAGGTGCCCACTGTGCAGTTGCTGCTAGGTTATGGCCTACTGTAATAATCCACAAGGAAAGTGACATCATTTTAGGCCAGGTGATAGCCATGGAAGTCACACCAAATGGTCTAATTCTGAGTATACTTTCATTAGAGCCAACAGGATTTGAAGATGATCAGGACATAGGGGCGTGATTCTGAGCATCTAGAAGGATTGTACTGCCATCACACAAAAGACCACCGAAGGAGGGGTGGTTGGGGGAAAATTGGGTATGGAATATGCTAACTTTGCAATGCCTGACATCCAATAGATGTCTAAAGATGATTTCAGAAATAATAGGAAGCCAGGAACATGCCTTATGCCTGTAAGCCCAACAACTTGGGAGGCTGAGACAGGAGGATCACAAGTTTGAGGCCAGCCTGGGAAACATAGCAGGACGTTCCCCCACACACACCCCGTCTCAAAAAAATAAATAAAAAGGGCTGGAGATGTAGCTCACCAGTAGAGCACACCAGGTTTTAATCCCCAGAACCACAAAAAAGCAAAAGGACATTCAAGTCTGGAATTCAGAGGACTCGAGTTTGAGGGAAATTCGGAGTTGTTAGAATATTGGAGTTTTCTAAAAATCCATGAGTGCATAAAATCACAGAGGAGTGGGTACAGATGATCCAGATGTTAGGTCTGGAGTTGGGCCTGAGAATCAGTTGAGAGGTGAGGATTAGCCAGCACTTAAATCCTGGGGAGGGGACTAGGGGCATCCTAGCAGCAAGGAACAAAGGTGTGGACAGCTGACAGGCTGGTTCGTGGCCACATTCAACCTCTGCAGGCTGACTGGAAAGAAGAATGCAGAGGTGAGAATCAAAGAATTTCCGAGTTTTAGAGACATTTTAGTGTTAAGGGAATATAAACATGAGGTGGTAATTAAGGGAATGGGGACAAGGAGGAGCCATGCCAACATGTATTCATGTTTGCACACTGATTGGTACATTCTAGCAGACAATGACACAGGAGAGGGACACCTACTGGTTGAGTGCCCTTAAGTGTGTGGAAGATGAAATCCAAGGGGAAGGCTGACTCTGGCTACCAGCTGAATGATTCCTCCCCATCTAGGGAACATGGAATGGGCTGGTCAGAGAGAGGCTCCTAGACATGGTTGCTCAAGACAGTGGAGGCAGGAGCATGACCTATATAAAGTCCCTTCTAACTAGTTTTATTTCTTAGTAAAACTATAAATAAGGCCACCAAGTGAAAACTCAAGAGGGAGTGGGGGCAGTGAGGGACACAAAGGTTCAGCACCAGCTCCTACTCATTCAGAGTGGAATAAGCCAGAGAAGTCTCAGACCGCCAAGGGCAGACAGCCACTGTTTAGCACTCGCCATCTTTTGGGTAGATTCAGCCACATGTATTTCCTACAAAAAATCTGAAGCTAACTTTCAATAACAATTAGTGAAATCAATTTCAAATAACATAACCGTTAAAAACATAATCAGTGGGCTGGGATTGTGGCTCAGAGATAGAGCTCTTGCCTAGCATTCATGAGGCACTGGGTTTGATCCTCAGCACCACATAAAAAACAAAGGTATTGTGTCCACCTACAACTAGAAAATAAATTAAAAAACAAAACAAAACATAAATCACCGAGGGCACTGCCTGTCTTCCAAGAGGTTATACTTTACAAATGTTTGACTCACTTTCTTTTTCAAACAAAATCACATCACTAAACCTTCTGGTCTTTTTGCCCTAGCTGTCTATTCAAATGAGCAACTACTCTCTCTCTCCTTGCATGAAGTGAACTGAACAGCACACATGAATCAGAAGGGAACAGGCCTCACCTCTTATTCTCCTCCTTCTCCATTAATAGACCACTGGACAGACACTGCGCCAGGAGTTCCTGGGCAGAAGCTCCTCGCATCAGATCCTCTGCGCTGAGACTCCGCTCCTCTGGGTCACACTCTTCATTCCTCTTCCCTTTATGGTGCACGTGAAGTAACGGAGTAGGAAAATTGCTTGCAGAATAATGAAAAGACTTTATCCCCAAACTGTAAGTACATGTTTTGAAATGCTTATGGTCAGGAAAGTGGGA